ATGTTACGGTTTTTGTATTTGGTTTGTTATTTTTGTATAACTGAAATTAAAATTGCTTTAATTTTGTTCGTAAAATTGTTTTAATTGTTTTAAAATTGTCCATGCAATGCAGCACGAGACTTATTTGAAGATTTGTTTACTACGCTGGAAAAGTTAAAATACAGGAGCACGCGCATTTTAACGTGTAATAAATAGATAGCTCGTAATTGTAGTCTTTTGCTTTCCAGAAACCTCGAGAAAATAAAAATTACTAGAATGTTCTCGTGCATAATTAAAAAGCTTATACAAGCCGGAAGAAAACATCTCAGTTCAGTTGTTTACTTAGTTCTTGTTGATTGTAGCGAATTCGCGGTGACATCGGATTAGCGTTCTCTGCTTTGAATTGTGTTCTATTTAACGTTTTAGTAGTTTAAAATATAACTACTGTGAGATATTGTGATATTGTACGAATATCTCTGAGGAAATTTCAGCATTTTGTTTTATTTCTTAGATAAGAATAAGTTTTATTAACTTTTTATCGACTTGTGCATTCAATCCATTACGAACCCGTACGTACGCAACAATAATTCAAAACAACAAATCTTTAGAATTTCCAATAGAATGTTAGAGATTGCCATACATATTTTTATGTTCCCTGCATTTTTTCTTTAAAAACTAGCACTCACGCCTTAAATAGTTACCATAAAAAAAGAAAAAGTATAGAAACATTTCACTGAATTCAGTTAGTGATATTTCATAAAATAAGTGAATATTTCTAATTAGACACCTCATGATTTTAATATATCTTTCTTTAAATCAATCGCATTTAAAAGTCGAAAATATTATTCTTATAAGAACTGTGCTTATAGCTTTTAAATCGCTTAGATTACTCAATAACCTTCCAAATGAAATTTGAAAGTATGTTGCGGTTTACTGAATGGCAATTGACTGACTCGTGGAAGATAAAAACATTGTATTTCCGGCCGCGGTAACACATTGCTTTCATACAGTAGAGTGTGTTAATTCAAACTGAAAGATAAATAAATATCTTACATTTTCCCGAATGACAACAGTTATGCGCGCTGGGGATAAAACTTTTATTTCGAATAGTGTTGTTTTCTTTACTCGGTTTTAAGTCGCTGAGTTTGTGAATCAAAAATTCATTAAGGTTTCGAAAATATAAAATAAACATTAAATTTGAAATACCGCTAGAGATAGATGTCTATAGCAGCTTAACTAAATAAGTAACAATCTTTTCTGAACAAGAACTCCGGATGAAATTAAGCGCAAGCATGTATATTATGTTGGGTTATTTGAATACAGCTAATCACACAAGGGTTATGTTCCTCAAGAGAAGGATAACTTCGCGAAGGATTTTCTAAGGGAAATTGACTCGTATTCATGTTAATCATAGCGAAAATCACAAAAACCAACTATTCGCCTGTGTTCAAACCAGCAGTAGTCAGCCGTCTTAACGGCTTGGCCACTGGTGGGACTAAAATGCTTGGATTATTCAGATTATAGCAACGCAGACAAGGTGTTTGTTACCTGCCTGTGGGAATGGATCTTCATGAGCGGCTTTTAAAGAAAGCCGGCTCGTATTCAAGTTGCACTTGTGGAAAATAAGGAAACCCCCATGTAACCAATCCGTTCTTCCAGATTTGAACCCAGGTTACTGCAATACTCCGAAGTTACAGGATAAAAGGGATCGATCAAAAGCGTGAAAGTTCAAGTTTACAAGCTTAATTTTTAATTAATTAACGCCGTTTTTATTAAATAGGTTCAAGAACCGAAAGACACTTGTTTAGAAAAAAGTATATAATAAAGAATGAAATTTCCATACTTATTAATACAAAAGAATATGAAAATTAATGTGTTTCTTAAAATGGAATCGTTTCACTGCTGATGACTTCATAAAATTTAACAAACTTCTCTGACCTTTCAATTCATACAGTTAGTCAATAAAGTCTGCGTACATCAAGAAAAGTAATATCAAATCCAAATTTTAAGGTGCGAAAAGGGTAGTTTCTTAAAGTTTTATTTTTTAAATATTTTGTTTCAATAAGGGACTTTGAAATTATTTAATTGTAATATTTTCATATCTAATAATTTATGCACACTAATTTTTAAAAGATAAGTGGCCAGAAATCAAAGCCAATAAAGTTTGCGTACAACGCGAAGGAGGCGGGGGATTTCTTATCTAACTTTTAAACTTCAAATTTGAGAATGCAAAGAAGGTTACACTTTCAAGGTCATTGACTTTTCACGTTGATTGGAAGTAGCTATTTCTATTTTCTTTGACGAAAATGACAACCAATAAAGAAATTCCTTTAGTTACGAGACAACTAATTATCAAATTGAGAGATGAAGGTAAAACTCTTCGTCATATTGGTAAAACCATTGGAAAACCATTTTCTAGTGTGCAAAGAGTTATTCAAAACTATCTTGACACTGGTAGTCTTGCTGTAAAACCAAGATGTGGGAGACCGAAGAAGCTAACGCAGAGAGAAGAAAGAAAAATTTTTTTTACGAATTAAACAAAATCCTAAACTTTCTGCTGCAAGCATTGCAAAAGACATTTTTTTAACTAGCAACAAGGAAATTTCTCCTGAAACTGTACGAAAAGTGCTGCGAAAGTCCGATTATCATGGACGCAAACCTAGGTCTAAGCCATACATTTCCGAGACAAATAGAAAGAAAAGAATTGCTTTTGCCAAAACATATTTAAACTCTTCGCAGGACTTCTGGAACAATGTAATTTGGTCAGATGAAAGTAAATTTACAATATTTAAAGTTAATGGCCACCCTATTGTATGGAGAAAACCAGGAACAGAACTGAATCTGAGAAATTTAAATCCAACTGTCAAACATGGAGTTGGCGGTGTGATGGTATGGGGGTGTATGTCGTCGAAAGGAGTTGGAAATTTTCACATTATTGATAAAGTCATGGATAAGTATGTTTATCTGGATATTCTGAAGAAAAATCTACGAGACAGTGCCCGAAATTTAAACCTTTCTAATACCTTTATTTTCCAACAAGACAACGACCCGAAACATACAGCTAAAATTGTGAAGGAATATCTCCTCTATCACACTCCAAGACAGTTGCGTACTCCTCCACAGTCACCAGACCTCAATCCAATCGAACATTTGTGGGCAAAATTGGAGAAACGAATTCGAAAACACAATATTACGTCGCGAAATAAGCTAATTAGTTAATTGCAGGAAGAATGGGCGAAATTTACGTCGGATGACACTGAAAAAACTAGTTCAGTCAATGGCCCAGACGTCTGCAAGCTGTTTTGAAGAATAAAGGATATCCTACAAAGTATTGAAGTAATGTAAAAAACTTATAGCTTGCTTTTTTTTTTTTTTTTTTTTTGAAAGTGTACGCAGACTTATTGGAGGGAATTTCTGAGGTTTTTTTGACAAAATATATTTTTGAAAAAATGTAAAAAGTATTACACTGATATTATTTACTTTTTATTTAAGCTTACAATTTTAGCTAATAGAAGAAAAAAATGCAATGATTAAAATACATTTTTCTATGCTTTAAGTGTTTTTTTAATTTAAAATTTAGTCTGTACGCAAACTTTTGTGACTAACTGTAGTTATAAAGGAGAGAAAAATAAAAGAAAGAAACTCCATTGTTCTCTTTTTATAGAATAAAGAAAATGACATTTATACACATAATGTGTTCTTTACATAATAAAGAACATATAATTGTATATAAACATAGAATAAGTACATTGTCTATGAGCCCAGTTATAACTTAACTGCAGTTTTCGAAGAGAAATTCGAGTTTTAGAATATTTCAGCGTACATTTTTTATGCTTCGATATATGTTATTTCTTTAAATGTAAGGAATGTAAGGAATGTAATGTCTAATGTAAGGAATTTTTTGTTTACCAGCATTTTCTGAATAACTGATAGTTTCAAATGCAAATTAATTACAAGCATAAATGTACAAAATAAAATAACGAAACGCGTAAAACTTCGAGTTCGCGAGGTATTACAATACCAGTGTTCAGTGCTTTTCACAACTCGGCCACTTGTAAGCTCTAGATCGGAGTTAAAAAGTATGAAAAGATGTCAGTTACGACCTACTAATGGCCTGTTTATCTAAAATGCAAAAATAGATTTTCTAATATTCAGTGAAAATATTTTAAGGCATAGCGTTATTATTTATTTATTTATTTTTTTGTAAGCTAGAGAATATATATATTAATTTACTTGTTAAATTTTTGACAAATGGCATAAGTTCTTCATTCACAAAAATCTTAAGCTCTTCATTCACAAAAATCTTTCAATATAAAATGTTTTCTCATCTTAAACCAGAATTTATTGTAATTTCAAGCATCCATAATTCATCCATAAAATTGCAACGTGTAGAAATAAAATTTGGTAATAAATGATGCGTTAACAGAAGCTACGTCATATTTAATTATTAAACGATTAGTCGAATTTATGACATTTTCAGAATAATCTATTTCAAAATAATAATTTATGCCTTTCTATGCTTTACTGTTTATATTTTCTACTTGCAGCGTGCCAATATTCTTGAAAAAGAAACCTTAAATGGTAAATTATATATTACGAACGAAGAGTTTTAAACGATTGAATTTTCATAATGATTTTTAAATCAATTTGAGCTATAATTGATAAGAATTTTTTAAAACCTTTTAATGATGATTTTTTATAGGTAAATTTAATTAAAAATTTCAGTATAAAAAAATTTCTCGACGACAGAGTTCAATTGCATTTACTACACCTATCGTTTCTATAGTTTCGCCAAGATGGCGATAAAGATACTTATCGAGATGAGCAATCATATTTCCGTTTTTGAATCTCTCTACCGTCGATCTCCGTTCCAGACGCGCGATTCCGGGTCAGCTTTGCTGATGCCATATATGGTCACAAAGAGCATATAGGATCTCTCATTGGTTGAGGACCACAGGCGGTTTGTGAATATTGAGAGATTCTAACCAATCATAGCCGACCACCGTAACCGTTGTTGGAAAGGTGGCCAAGGAGTCTTACCATATATGGTCAAGAGCGGGATGCCAAAACTGCCAACGCACACGTGCCATAAAAGCCGGCATCTCAGCTACGTCGCTTGCAGTTTGCGCTTATCCGACTTGTCTAGTAGTACTTTGTGCGGAATAATTTTCGTTGTGTAAGTTCAAATTGTTCATTTATACCTGTTCTTTGGATATAAAATTTCTAGGATTTGGGTGAGCCACGTAAAACCTTTCGTATAAATTTCTGTGCTGGAATTTATTAATTTAAATTGGCATAATTTAAAATTTTTTCAAGTATTTGAATGCATCTCATTTCATGGGCGTGTGCCGCAAAGCGTAGCCATATTCTAGATATTTAAATGCTTTGTATTTAAAAAGGTCAAGATAACTGACTTTTTTAAAATTAAAAATATTCGTACAAATATTAATACTTAACTTAATAAGATTTTGTCCAATAATGGTATTTATCAACTTAGAAATTTGGCTAGTGTATAATATTAGATTTAAAAATTTAATTTTAGAGTTACCTAATGTGTATTATTAAGTCTCTAAAATTTAATTTCATAATTATGTCATAAGATTTTGATAAATCTGAGTAACCATATTAGATGTTTTGTAATGTTTGTCGTAAACAAGACTGAATATTAAGCTTATATTAAACAAGACTGAATATTAAGCTTAGTTTTTGAAGCCTTGGCTTAGTTTTTGAAGAATATTAAGCTTATAGTAAACAAGACTGAATATTAAGCTTAGTTTTTGAAGCCTTGTGTAACTTGAAAATATGAAAATGTATTCAATTTGCAAGTAGTTTCGAATTAGATCAGGTAGAAGATGAAGAATTTGTTTGAAACGCATAGTATTGTTAAGTACTTTTAGAAAGCAGGAGATTGTGGAAGTTTTGACGTGACGTTAAAAGGTTGCTTAAGCGGGAAGTTTTGATGTGACGTTAAAAGGTTGCTTAAGCGAACAAGTGTGTGAATGCTCGTTGGATAAAAGCCAAGTATTGTGAAAAGTAATGGCCTTTCATATATATATCTGTTAATAGTAATTTTCCCCTACCTGAAGTGCGTAAGTAAAACCAAAGTTTACTTCATACTTGTGTAATGCTTTCTTTAAAAAAAGTTCTTGGAAGGGCGTAAATTCGGATATAAAGCAATATTAGTTGAAGACCTAATTTTCTGTCGAAAGCTAAAATGTTCGGAACTTTTCTCATATTTTCTGTGTGTGTTCACAAATTATTTTATCAGTTTGCCTGTTGGAAAGTTTTTAATAAATCTGTTAATTTTTTTTAATTTGACCAAGTAGCTAAGAAATTTAATGTCGTACTAGTTAATTTGCGTTCCTATCTTAATAAACTGAATAATTAATGTAACATTTTAGCAAATTAAATGCATGTCAAGTTGTACTAAAGTGTTTGTGCTATCGCGTTAGTTTACGAATTGTAGAAGAAAATTTTATTTGAAATTGCTAATGTACGAAATGTAGTGTATCTAAAACTAATGCTGGGAGAGCTTTCATCTGTTACGTGGTGGCTGTGTTATTTTTTGCTGTAAAGAGTCTACTGTATTGTAGCGGTGCTGATTCAGTGAATTAAAATATTTGAATGGTGTTTGAATAATATTGCAATCTGAAATGATTTAGCACTTCTCAGTTCTGTGTTCTAACCTCTAATAAGTGAAAAGAAAATTGCTAGTTAGTTTACGCTAATAGCTTCTCATTTACGTTACTTTTTTTAAAACATAACGAATCTCATTCTAGGCCAATGCTACTTGTTTTTAATGTTCTTTTTATAGCTCTTATTGTAGTGTATTGATTTACAAATTCTTCTACAGGCACTCTAATAAACAATCATGTGTGACGACGACGTTGCTGCTCTTGTTGTAGATAATGGATCTGGTATGTGTAAGGCAGGTTTTGCTGGTGATGATGCTCCCAGGGCTGTCTTCCCCTCAATTGTTGGACGGCCTCGTCACCAGGGTGTCATGGTAGGCATGGGTCAGAAAGATAGCTATGTTGGAGATGAAGCTCAAAGCAAAAGAGGTATCTTGACACTAAAGTATCCTATTGAGCATGGTATTGTCACCAACTGGGATGATATGGAAAAAATATGGCATCATACTTTCTACAATGAACTTCGAGTGGCACCAGAAGAACATCCAGTCCTCCTTACTGAAGCCCCCTTGAATCCCAAAGCCAACAGGGAAAAGATGACACAGATTATGTTCGAGACCTTCAACACTCCAGCTATGTATGTAGCCATCCAGGCAGTATTGTCCCTATATGCATCTGGTAGGACCACAGGTATTGTTCTGGATTCGGGAGATGGTGTCTCTCACACTGTACCTATCTATGAAGGGTATGCTCTTCCCCATGCCATCCTTCGTCTTGATCTTGCTGGCAGAGATTTGACAGATTACCTCATGAAGATTCTCACAGAGAGAGGCTATTCTTTCACTACCACAGGTAAGTTATCTTTTAACTTAATTTTGAACTCAAATATTTAAATTAAATGTGTAGGCCTTGTACTTTTCTATATTATTAAAGAAATCTGTGATGAACTTTATGAATATAATTTTACAAAACTTTTTTTTAAGTTCTGTAAAAGCATGTCTCATTCTGTGATAGACTAAGTGCATTTAGTGATATTCCTTGGTCAGTTTCGTATGGTAATGAAAATGCAAAGAATCTATTAAATAGTTCATATAGAATAAAGGAATGCTGCAGGTTTTGAAAATATCATTACATTAATCTTTGAAATACTGCATTGAAGTAAACATGCATTGAAAACAAAGTACAATTAAATTATACTGAGTGCTTGATATTGATGATCTCTTGGTTAAAGAAGTTCGAAATACTTTAACAAGATAATGGTAGTTATGTTTGTAATATGTAAATTTTCAAAACTGCAGGATGTTATGAATGGTACTTTTTCAGTTTACAGGACCAGATTGAGGAAGGTACTGTATGAACACACACATACATAAACATATTTCTGTATCTGGTCTTGATAGCAGAAGTACCATGTTAACTAAATCCTCATGAATCATATTAGCCTTCATTTTCTTGAGCAACAAGTAAAATTGAAATGCAGTTAACTATTTATTGCTTTGGAAATCTGAATGTTTGTATTGAAATACTTGACAGAATACTGAAATAGCTTGTGTTAATTTTGTACTTAAATAGCTTGTGGTTTTTTCTTAATAAAAGCCATATGAATGTTAAATTTCTGGTAGAATGCAAGTGTTGAGTTTGACAGACAAATATAGCATGTGCATTAGAACTTTATTATTTATTTTAAATGAACTTGAAGGAAGTAGCCCACAGTGGCCTAGTGGTAAAGTTACTGAGTACTGGTAGTTAGATCTAAGTTCAAGTCCCAGTGAATGACATCGGGGTTTTCATGGTTTCTCCGTATGTAATGTGGATACAAGTCGGTTTTTAAGAAATTTCTGTTAGCATCTTCTCCCTTAATAGATGACTAAAATTTAGCATTAAAAACTTAGGTATATGTCAAATTGATTAAAATTTAGCATTAAAAACTGTTAGGTATGTGTCAAATTATCTGTATACCAGTTTTTTTAAGATGCTGTCCTTTTGTGTTAAAATCTCAACTCCATTTTTGGCTGAAAAGACTAATTTGTCATTAAAAAGTATAGTTTTATTAGGAATTTGAAACTTGTAGGATTTGAATTTTTATAAGCAAGAATTTCGTGCCATTCATTTACTGTGGATATATTTTACCTTCATTGTTAAAATGTATATAAAAAAGCTAAAAGATTTTTGAAGGGATTATATCCTGTTGTGCAGCCAGCCATCGTCTGGCTTTTAAATGTGCTTACCCAGGTACCTCGCGACAAACGTCCGCTATCCTAGAGAAACATTAAATTTTAAAACAGTACAGAATTATCACCCTCATTATTCAGAGTGGCAACATTGATATATCTGTAACAATGGCTAATCGCTTCAAGGTGCACTGGCTCTTGTGTAAATGCACCTTATTTCGTAACCCTGGGTCTATTAACTTGCGTGCAGTGCAAACAAGACTAACACTGTTCCTTTTATTATATGTAGAGGTTTAAGGTATAATTTCTAAGAATTAGCTCATTAAAATAGCTATAGTTTAGGAAGTAAAATGTATTGCTTATTTCTGTGTTTTTATTAATTTCTTAATTTTTTTTCCCCTTTAGCTGAAAGAGAAATTGTCAGAGATATCAAAGAGAAGTTATGCTATGTTGCTTTAGACTTCGAACAAGAAATGGCCACTGCTGCATCTTCTTCCTCTCTAGAAAAGTCGTACGAGCTTCCTGATGGTCAGGTAATTACAATTGGTAATGAAAGATTCCGTTGTCCTGAAGCTCTCTTCCAGCCATCCTTCTTAGGAATGGAATCTTGTGGTATTCATGAAACTACATACAATTCTATTATGAAATGTGATGTCGACATTCGTAAGGACTTGTATGCCAACACTGTATTATCTGGAGGAACCACTATGTATCCAGGTATTGCCGATCGTATGCAGAAAGAAATCACAGCCTTAGCTCCTAGTACCATGAAGATCAAAATCATTGCCCCACCTGAGAGGAAATACTCAGTCTGGATCGGAGGTTCCATCTTGGCTTCCTTGTCCACCTTCCAGCAGATGTGGATCTCAAAACAGGAATATGATGAATCTGGTCCAAGTATTGTCCACCGTAAATGCTTTTAAATAAAATAATTTTAAAAAGAAACAGCTGCACAAAAACTACTAGGATTTGATTATTTAAGAGGAAGATCCTTGAAGAAAGAGCTAAATTATGCTATGTACCATCAAGAACAGTTTTTCATGTTCTTTTTTCCTCCCCAAAGAAAATTTTAGTTACTGACTTTGCCCCCCCCTCCTTGCATGTAAAGACTGCTGCAACAAGAGGTATTAAATATGTACATTTGAAGCTGTCCAAGTGAAGATTGCGGAGAACCAAATTGTCAGTGGCTACTGTTTTTCCTTAGTGTTGCATGAAGGACTTTTGAATTACTTACTGCTGTACCAGTCTTTTGTCTTAGATGTATTTATAAATTGTGTTGTATACTAAGTGAAAAATAACAGGAGTTTTGTTTATATCTTGACTTATTTCTTTATGCTTCTATATTTTTTAGTTAGCTATAGTATGGAAAAAAATTTAATGTAAATTGCCATTATTTTTGAAAATTTAAAAGTAACACATGGCATGTTCTCATTAATCAGAGTGAACATGCTTAGATAAAATGATTCGTTCTCTATAAAATTTTGGGAAAGTTAACTGAGATGAATTTTTGAGCTGCATAATCTAGCCAGATATAGCTTTCATCTTGGAATTATTCACGATTGGATATGGGGCGTGTAAACGGGAAATGCTTGGGAGAAGGAAGTTTGCAAGTAAATTAATGTTCAAGTTTTAGGTAATTTTAAAGCTCAAAAAGCAAGGTAGGTATGGTTTCTAGAGATTATGGCTATTTTAAGTTAGGAAGATGTTGAAAGGCTTGCAAGAAATCGGACTAATTGTTCTCTCAGTGTTGGGCATATTGAAGACGGTTTGCCTTCAAGTTGAGAGAAACTGTTCCTCTTTTGAGTATGCAATGATTAACATTTACGTAGAAAGTGCATTTGAAAGACTACTAATTTCTGGCAGCAGATTTTTAAGTGCTTACGTAATGGTATATGCAGGGTAATAGGGTGATGTCCTATATTGAACTACATCATTCCCACCCCCCCTTTCTCAGATTTCTTGATAGAAGAGAGAGAGCTCTTGTGTTATAGTTGTAGAGTAGTATGAATATTAAATGGTAATTGCTACTGCAAAAACTTCCTTTAGAATTGCCAGAATTTCTTTGAAAGAATACCATTAAATACATGTTTGTGTCACTGAAGATAAGGAAGCAGGAAGTGATTGCATAATATTTTAAGGAACGACAAATTGTCATAAAAACCAATTAATGTGGATAATCTGAGTTTCAATGAATGGTTGTCTTTATTATGCAATAATAGGCAGCCTAATATAGACTTAGGTCAGATTGGTAAATCATAATGGATTTTTACAGGTTCATTTCAACAATACATCCAATACAGTGTGTTTGTGCATTTTGATTTTATTAACTAGTCATCTGGCACAATTCAGGTTCAAGGTTTTGTGCCATTTAAAGTCAACCAACCATAATGGATTTTATGGCTTTCAAATTTTGGATTATTAGTAATTTATGTTTTTTGCATTAGTAAAAATGTTATTGAAATATCAAAAACCAGTAGTATCGGTAGATCTACTGACTACACTTGATTCTTTACTTCAGATATTTTTTCCACTTCAGTTTTAGTGAAAAGAGCAAAAATTTGATAATTAAAAAATCTTCATTAAAGTGAACCAGTTATCTTTTTTAAAAATGTTAAGCATATTGGATAATCTTCGAATATTCATCTGTAATACATATACTGCATATCCAAATGGTGATGTAACTCGAGAGAGCTGATCTGCGTTTTTTTTTAATCTGTGAGACGAGTAAGTCTTGCTATGTTTGATATGAATGGGAAAGTTAACATACTTCAGTATAACCACTTGTGCTAAAAGACTTGCCACGCACGTGGAGATGCTTTTGTCTCAAACCACGAGCGACGTGAACGCCACGTCGATGGGCATTTATTGCAAAAATGAAAATAGTGTGGTGCACACGTCGCCTGACAAGATTGTTTATTTCTCAAGTTACAGCTCTAATTTGCATTCTTACTGAGGCAACCTTTTCCTTAGGCAGATAACCCTTGCATATTTCAGAATAACCAAAGTAAATGAACATGGATAAGACTGTTTCTGAGGTTACCATAATTTATGCACCATTTTTGCTCATGTCTCATCACTTTTGATAATTTTCCTCTAATCCTGCCTTCATCTCGTATAGTTTTATAATTGCACACTTACAAAAATGCAGGCAAGTTTCATTTTGTATCCAAATGCTAGCTAACATGCCAATTGTATTAATTTGGATACTGTAACATGATTCAACTGCATTATTAAAAAATACTATGTATAATTGAAGTAACGGTTTTAGGTGGCCCAGGGGAACATAAGATTTGACATAATTTATTATCAAGAAGAATGTAATGTATCCAAATCCATAAAACTGGTCTTGAAACTATTAGCTTTTGATATGTTGGGGGAGTCCTGCATCATTGGCCAGGCTGATGGTAGTATGCTGAGTAGTGTTTATAAAATTATATATGGTTAATTTTGGAAGTTTCCTAGCTCATTCTGGAAAGGTATGTTCTGGAAAAGTACTCTCCTGTTTATCTCATCTTTTGCCAGAATACTTTTTTTCAGCCCATAATTGCAAAAAGCCAAACTTCCATGAAAATTTCATTAATTTTAAACACGATTCCACTTCACATATCTCAAGTACAATTGAAATTATGTAACCTGCAATAAAAATATCTGCACAAAATTTGAGAAGTGTCAGAGAGAACAATTATTTGCTATACAGTACTAAATTTGAGATGTTGAAGGATGACTATTTTCCTAAGTATTGTGCCATATGCTCAAAACAGTTGGGGCATATGATTAGAAAGAAACAAGTAGTAATTTAATTGATACTTGTTGTAAATGCACAATTTGTGCATATTGTACAAAGGAACCTCTTGGATACAAATGGGTATGATTTCCCTTGACTGAAAGCAATGTAGCATGCCTAAGGGGCATGAAATCGGTGAGGGAAGGGGTTATTCTCACTACTCTAGAAGAGCTTTTAAATCGCTGAATTGTTTTCGAAGGTGACAAGAGACTAGCAGCGTTTTTCCTTAGTATATCGGAACACGTTTTATTGGGAAGATGGTGGCAAATCAATTTGAAGGTTTCCTTTGTCAAAAAGGAAATTCTTCACTATTTGAGCACAAATTAGCCTGCCTTATATCCATTAGAAGGAATTCCTTCCCAAAAAGCTGCAGTGTATAGGGCAGTAGGTCTGAGGATCTCGTGCATACATTGCCGTTCTCGTATCTTAACATTTATCCATTCGTGATGCGTTCTCGTATCTTAACATTTATCCATTCGTGATGATGTGTAGGTCAGTGAAGCCAATCTACCCAGACCATCAGTCCACCATTACCAAACTGAACATTTTCGTGCACAAATGCAGGAGTATTTACCAGTTCTCTCCAGATGAGAATCTGCCTATTATCAGGTTGTATACTAAAAGTGAGATTCGTCCATGAAGAATGCGTTGCACTCATCTTGTTTCCATCCAAGGGCAGCATGGTCATTTTGTGTCAACAAAATGGAAATTGTAGGTCTACGAGCAAACAAAACCCACATGGAGACTTAGTTTCGAACAGTTTGAATTGAAACTGGTACGAATAGCCCTTTTAAGGGGCTCAAAGTGGTTTTCATAGTGCAGTTTCTTATGTTGTTAAATACCGATCCCCATTTTGTGTTGCTGCAGGCATACGACCTTGCTCCAGTCTTTGGTGAGCATTTTCATTTTCCAAAAACTCAGTCTATAGTCTGGAAATGATACCTTGAGAAACATCTAATGCTTCTACTATAATGTATATTGTGCTTGACCTGCTTATAAAGGACCGATAGCCATCTAGGCTTCAGTTTGATGTTCCTGAAACTAAATGCATGTCAATTTTTTTAATTTCATATTACAAAAGGAATGTTGCAGGTTGCATTTCTCTCCTCTAAATTTTGACATGACAAATGCAACTTTGTAAATGTTACAATTTTTCTTAATAACCTTTTCTATTTCATTTTTGTAAAAAATGTATTTTCTTCCACCTTTCAGAAAGAATGCGTTTGTGGTGTTACAGTAGCATCCTCAACACTTATTTGAGAGGTCCAGGCGCGTATTGGACATTTTTTGCTTCAAAATAACCTAATGCTCACTTGACTGACCTATAGTTAGCCAACAAAAATTACTCATGGCAAGAAGCATAAGTGTACACCTGCAATTGGTTACAGTGCAATTAAGCTCAGTTCTGCACTCTGTTTTGATGGAGAGCACTTAAAGGGATGGGTCCGGTCCAAGGGTCTCCCACCCCTCATCTGTCTAGAGGACTTTCAACTTGCCCCATATTTAGAGTGCCCCATGCTGCGCGGACACTATACATTTACAAACATCATCTTCGGGATTTGAACCTAAGCCCTTCGGCATGGCAGTGACGCTAACCACTGGTTGAGCTGCTGTAATTACTTTAAAAGCAGCAACCTAACTAAAAGGTGGTGGATGATAATTCATAACCACCGGGTTTGGTGATTGTGTTCCCTAATCCCCAGTTGCCCTTTAAAAAGGGGAAGAATATAAGGTGTTTTCTCCTTCATGGTGTAATGATAGGAGACTCAGCATGTATTTGGTCTAGGGTTCAAGGGCATTGCATATTTTTCATGTCTTCTGCTTAAAAAATCCTAATGACTCCCAGAAAAGTGTCAATTATATGGTTATTTCATACTAAACTCACAATATCCTAATTGTTTTGGGCAGTGTATTTTTATTCGATGTTTTTATGTGGTGGCTACATCGAGATGTAAATATGTCATCTACCATATGGATTTTTTTTTTTTTTTTTTTTTTTTTAAGTCTCGGACACCACAGCTATGAAGTATTTATGCACTGTAGTCTGCTAAAATGATTTCATCTTTTCGTTAGATTTGAATTATTCTGAACTGGCAGCATATGAAGTAAAGAGTGACATGATATTCAATAATGATTTTTATGATTGAGGTACACATATGGAGTGACATAATAAGGAAATCTGGGTTGATACACTAATTTCAGAATGAGTAAGAAGACAACATTATTTATTTTTTAAATTGTTACTATGCTGACTTGGAAAATAAAATGAAAGTAAAGAACTAACACCATGACGAGCTGTAACTGAATGCTAAAACTCATGAGCAAGCTGAAAGTTGAACTCGTGCGAAGTTCTACTTGTGCAAGTGCTTTAGATTCTAATTCAGATATCTCAAAAATCCCTAGAGTTAAAATTAAAATTCTCCAAGATGGAAAATATGACATATCTTATTATTTTTAATTGTAAAGTAACTGACGAAGAAATCTGAGCTCCAACAGCAGTGTACTTCTTTCAAAGTTCTTCATTTGACGAT